GAGCGAGAATGCAGATATGATGAGAGCCAGAAAGAAGTGTGAACGAGTGGAAGGAGACAATTGCCAGGCCATTGGGATCATGTCTGCCTAAATACTCTATTGTACTCACCCTCAAACTCAGTTATCTGTACATGTCCTTTTCTCACTACCCCCAGGTTGGGGAAGAAGGCCTGTGACATGTAGTACAGTGCCATGAATAATTCCTTTGTCTTTCTATGACACTTGAAGACACTTTTGTCAAGTTTCGTAGGATCAAGTACCAACAGAGAAGTGCCTGCCTCCAAATCAAAATCAAAGGAGAGCACAATACCTTGAAAGTCTTGAATATTGTACTTCTCGATAACCCTCTTGCCCTCTTCGATAGAATCGACAATATTGTACTCTTTCTTGTAGGCTTGAAGGTTGAACACCCGATTCACAGCACAATCCAAGTCACCCTGTGAGAATATGGCCAAATGAGCATACATCATGTCCGGAATATTGTCTAATTCAGGACTGGCCTCCACTGTGCGCTTGATCTGCAGTGCCCATTCCCGCTCTTGATCCGAAATTTCCATGAATTTTGGGTCTGCTTGGACGGTCACAGATGGTGGTAGTGATGGCACACGAGGATGATCCTCTGTGGCTCCTTCTTCATCAACGCCTTCAACCCGTTGATTTTCATTCGTTGCAGCAACAGGGACTTGATTGTCGTTGTTGGGTTGGCTCTCCTCGTTGTCAGTGACTTCTTGATTTCGTGAATTCAGCTCGAGATCTCTCTCACTGCCATTGTGAGACTCTGTGGTACTGGTATTGGGGCGATCCATTACCTAACTAGACCCAACCGTGCACGTTAACATGAATGTGGGTGGAAAGAATTGTTAATGGGCAGCACAACAAAAATCAGTTGTACATGTATGTAATGGAGTGATGGAGTGCCTTTGAATTGCGGTTTCTTATTTCAGACTCTGACTTACTTGACCTACCCCGCACTCCTACCGTTAGCTAGCTATGCATAGTGTGGCTGTTTGGTTCCCTTGTTCCCTTTGATGAGGAAGGAGTAAACTTCTAAAGGCAGCACTCAGCAACTTACAACCGCTGTACCGGTATGAGGTACCAGGTACAGTAGAACAGTAGTCTACTGTTCTCGAGTAGTCAGTCCATTAGCTATTTTAATTTAAATAAAAGGCCTACTCCACTACTTTGATTGGTTCTTCTTGTCACACTTATTCTTTTTCGCATCTACGACTTTTTCATTGAAGTAAGAGCCTGCAAGACCACAGAAGAACATAACTGTTGTGTTCCCGACTCCCGATTGTGGTCATTCCCCTTTCCTTCGTTGTTTCAGCTCATGACCCGTTCATTCCAGTTTGAGACGTCATGAAAGTCGTTTCCAACAAAGATCTTTTGGTCCACATCAACCGATCTTTTTGGCTCCACAAACATGACATTTTCCGCGAAGACGAAGATAGATGATGAGATTCCCTATTATTAGTCGCCCTTGGCTGTTCCTGTTGGCATCTGCCACTCGATTGGATACGTTCCATGCATTCCACAATACTGTGTCTCGACCGGCACACCGCCACTCTTCTTCCCTGAGCAGCAGCACAACGGATCAACCCGATGTCTCGCGGTTTGTCACGGGCAGTCGCCCCGCCGGTACGGAACAGTATGTGATGCAGCAAACCATGGTTCGTGTCAAGGATCCCATCAAGAGTTTGGAATTTTATTGCGACATTTTGGGCTTTCGATTGGTCATGTTTCGCGAGTTTCCACAATGGGAATTCAACGTGTACTTTGTGGCGCCCGTGGATGCCTCTGACATTCCTTCGTCAAAAGAAGAGCAATGGAAATTCTGCATGAACACTCCCGGTTGTATTGAATTGACGTGGAATTACGGCAGTGAAACGCAAGACGGATTGGTATACAACACTGGAAATGCCGATTCCACCGGAACTACCGATGGACAGAACGTCAAGGGCGGTTTTGGACACTTGGGAATCACCGTACCGGATGTCTACGAAGCATGTGCGAGATTTGCCGAGCTGGGTTGTGAATTCACCAAAACGCCCAATAGTGGTGGGATGAAAGGATTGGCATTTGTCAAGGATCCGGACGGGTATCTGGTAGAAGTCTTGCCGCGAGGAGAAATGATTCAGAAACCCATCGATCATGCCGGTGTGGCCGTGGATGGTGGTGAAGGATACAAAGATAATTCCAAGTAATTGTCAAACAGCAGTCTAGTGAACTAGCTAGCTAGAGAACTAGAGATCCAGAAGACTGATGAAGAATTCAATCTGTAGTATTCAAACGGAAAGGTCAGCTAGTGTAAATCTCCAACTCGGCCTACACTGTTGGATCATTCCAGTTGAACTGGTCAAGACCGCCTGAAAACAAATCACACCCGCACCATTTGAAAATGATCTATCTGAAACCCTTGTTCTGTCAGGCATCATGCATGATGTCCTTGATGCCTTGAGTCTTCAATCTTCAGCAGGATCCTTCTTGAAAGGAGCATGTTTGACTGGACTGCAGTCCTGATTGTTCCTTACCAAACGTGCTGGCTTCATTTGGGATCCAACTGTTTCCGTGTTTCCGTGATGATCTGGACGGCGGTTCAGACTAGGTGCATGCATGGTGTCTCTCTCTCTCTCATTTTTTGGAATCCAAAGGTCAGTCGCAACAACACACACCGTGAAACAATCAAAACAATGGCTCAAGCAGCAGACGGCTCCGTCACCATTGATGTCTCAACCTACGATGTATTTGCCGCCAAACAGTTTGCGGGAAACCAACTGGCCGTGTTCTCGGGAGCGGCGTGTCAAGATCTCACCACGGAGCAAATGCAGCAGCTTGCCAAGGAAATGAACTATGCCGAATCCACGTTCATTCTGCCACCATCAAAGCAGCCAGCAGCAACAACGGAATATGTACATCGTTTTGGATACCGCATATTTACACCAACTTGCGAGCTTCCATTTGCCGGACATCCCACCTTGGGGACGGCCTATCACGCCTTGCAACGGTTGCTTCCTAGAGATGATGGAACAACAACAAAGTCGGTCCTCTTGGAGTGCCAAGGAGGGACCATTCCAGTCTCACAGGACAAAGCCGATGGTTGTCTATGGATGGAACAACAACCTCCCAAATTAGAAATGCAACAGAAGAATGCTAGTATTGACTTAGAAGAGGTTGCCCAAGCACTCGATTGCGACATGGACGCGCTCGATCCCAAATATCCAGCTCACGTATTTTCTACGGGAGGGACCTGTTTCCTGGTTGTGGCCGTCAAATCCTTGCCACAGTTGCAAACCATTCATCATCCGGGTCCCACCATGTTTCCCTTTTGCCACCGCTGGGGTGCCGTTGGGATCTATCTAGTCACTAAGGAAGGCCGTGATGCGTCCCATTCCATTTCGGCTCGATCCATGATTGCCGAAATGGCCGTGCCCGAAGATCCTGCCACGGGGAGTGCCTGTGGGTGTTTTGCGGGCTGGGCGGTTCATACCGGGTTTCTCGATCAATCATCACGTGATGAGGACAAAACGTTTACCGTTGGGCAAGGCCATGAAATGGGACGCCCGTCCCTCTTGCGAGTGCGAGTTGACACCAAGGAACATGCCAACAACCTCAAAGTTCAGGTGAGTGGTTCGGTCATTCCTGTAGTGGAGGGAGGTCGTATTACCGTCCGGTCAAGTCAACATTGAGGAGCGTTTTTCATCTTGTTGCGCCACAGAGCGCATCGACGAGGCATCAACGCAGCGGCGGGCCATCTCGCGAATGCTTCCCCAGCAGTCGAAGGAGATTATCAAAGTTTTCGTCAGTGCGGTCTAGTATCCCTCGAAGCTTGACTTATTAATTCTTTTTGTAGATAATTTCCTTACTCTAACCCGCCCCTATAATGATTCTTTACCTCGGCAGGTAAACTGCCTGAGTTCTCAACCCCTTTAATGCTATTTCCTATTTCCTATTTCCTATTTCCTATTTTCTATTTCCTATTTCCTATTTTCTATTTCCTATTTCCTATTCTGGTGAAGCCAAAGTACAAGGATAGAGATAGTCATAAGCCAACAAAACTGAACATTGATGGTTCAATACAAGTTAGGGGTAGGAATAAATCATTAATATTTAAGGTTAGTGCAATCAGCACAACAGCACAATAAGCCAGCAGGAGCTGTAAAGGTTAGAGTTACAATAAGGGAATGGCAGCTGGTAAATTATAGAGTAGCGGGCGGCAACACACGACGTAGTCGACGTAGTCGGGTGTTGTCGCCAGGGCTAGCTTAATAAAGAAGGTTGCACTGAGGGAATGAATGATACCGGGCGGCAACACACGACGTAGTCGGGTGTTGTCGCCAGGGCTGGCTTGAAAGATGGGTGCAATCTACGGATGGCCCAACAGGGAGAATTGGACTTACAGGGAGAATATCAGTAGAGCTCCAGTAGAAATGTACACAGAGCTGCATACAGTATGATTTGTGCAAATGGGTGGGCGCACAGACCAAAAAGGGTGTATACCACCCTGTGTAGAGAATGTACTGGAATCTACTGCATATTCTCCCTGTTGTTCCGTATTCTCTCTGTTGGGCCGTTTCTAGCAATCTCGAACATGATCCTCCTTCTTCTATCTGTCTTTCTGCCGAGGTATCGCAGCTCCCGCTGACTTATTGTTGAAGATCTACCAGTGATGTGGAAGATACTATTATAATACCGGCCGTCGAACAACTGTTCTTCTGTGTTCTTTTTGCCACCGGTACATGCCGTCACAGGCTCTTCGAAAAGCCCATACGGTATTCCGAAGAAGAACAATTATTGAACAATAATTGACAAGAAGAATCAATCAGATTTAAAGATGCAGTGCTGTTACTTGAAGCTAGCTAGACTACTGTTGTACTCATTACTCATACTGAGTACAGGTTCAAGTACGGCTGTGAGTTGTCGAGAACTGAGTACTGTACAATGTCTTGTATGCATACATACATGTACACAAGAACCCCCACTCCCCACTTGCCACGGCTTTTTGTTCGTGGCACTCTTTCCTCAAAGGTAAGGACACAGCTATCGTCTTTCTCTCAAAAGGGGAAAAACGGCAACAGCTCGAGATCTGCGACACTGCGAAGCACTCCATTTCGTGCTACCCATCAGAAATTTTCCCCAACCACATTCCTGTTTACGTAGAATGGATCGCACCAATACCACAGAATCTCACAATGGCAGTGAGAGAGATCTCCAGAAGAATTCACCAAATCAAGAAGGCACTGATGACAACAACAATGAAGTCCCTGTTCGTGGAACGGATGAGAATCAACGGGATGATGAAGGAGATGAAGGCGGTGATGAAGAAGCTGCCACTGGGGATCAGGATCAGGAAGTACAGCCATTACTACCACACTCTGTGACCGTCCAAGCAGACCCAAAATTCATGGAGATTTCGGATCAAGAGCGGGAATGGGCACTGGCGATCAAGCGAGCAGTGGAAGCCAGTCCGGAATTAGACAGCATTCCCGACATGATGTGTGCTCATTTGGCCATATTCTCACAGGGTGACTTGGATTGTGCTGTGAATCGTGTGTTCAACCTTCAAGCCTACAGGAAAGAGTACAATATTGTCAATTCTATCGAAGAGGGCAAGAGGGTTATTGAGAAGTACAATTTTGTAGACTTTCAAGGTATTGTGCTCTCCTTTGATTTTGATTTGGAGATTGGCAATTCTCTGGTGGTACTTGATATTACCAAACTCGACAAAGGTGTCTTCAAATGTCATAGAAAGACCAAGGAAATATTCATGGCACTGTACTATGGGTCACAGGCCTACTTCCCCAACCTGGAGGTAGTGAGAAAAGGCAATGTACAGATTGCTGAGTTTGAGGGTGAGTACAATAGAGTATTTAAGGCAGACGTGATACCGATGGCCTGGCAATGCTGTCCTTCCACTCGTTCACACTCCTTTCTCGCTCTCATCATATGTGCATTCTTGCTCTTTTCTTTGGTAGGATTTGACCCTAGCAAGAACATGGTGGATGGCAAAATATTTAGAAGGGGGTTGATTGAAATCCATGGATCTTATCCCACAGTCGTTTCCCACCTGTACATGTATCATACACCTATGGTAGCCAACTTAATGGTATCTCTGGGCAAGCGAGTGCTGCCAAAAAATTTGTTCCCAAAAATCACAATGGGGTGTACTTTTCCAGGGCGCCTGGACCAGTTCTATGGTCTTCCAACTATTGAGGCTGCCACACGGAGGGCATTGGACAACCTGTACGAGTCTCTTCGAATCCGATATGAAAATGAAAGGACTTTCAGACTATGAAGCCAGTATACAACTCCCTATTGTAGCCCAGTTGCGTTGCCGTGATCAGCACCACGAGGCGGGCAAATAGTAGTATGTATTTTTTTTTAAAAACGATGTCACTTGCTTCGGCTGTCACTCCTACCGGTACATGTATTGGTAGTACTGGAGGAGGAGGTCGATTCCGTCTTTATGGGGATTCTACCATGTGACTACTACGGTCTAAAACGAGGCCATCGATTCCAGTCGCCGGCGGTCCACCGGCACTGCGGGCATTCGTTTCTGCGGCGCTGTTGCCGCCGACCCTGTTCGTCCATGTAGTGGAAGACATCATTGTGAGCAGCCATGTCATTGCAGTTGAACTTCTCAAAGGGTCCATAGCCACATCTCCCGCACTGCCGTAAATCCAAGCCACGCAACGCTTGCCGCGTTTCCCGCTCCTGGCGTTGTCGATCTGCTTGCAACCGCTCTTTCTCTCTGCGGCGCTCTTCTTCTCGCCTCTGTCTTTCGCGCTGGGCAGCTTCGCGTCTTCCTGCCCGTTCCCGCTGAAGTCGTTGCTCTTCCTCGGCTGTTTCCTGGACGCTGGCTGCTTTCCTTCGTAATTCCACTACATCATCTTCCAGAGAATCCACTTTGGCCTCTACTTCACGCTGGTAGCCAGAGTATTCCTCTTCCAGGAGTCGCTCAGATTCAATCTTTGCAAGATCCAAGTCGGTGCGCAGCATCCGCACTCGGTTTCGCATCCGAAGAGAAGGATAATGCAGATTTAGAGGCAACTCAAAGACTTCCTCGACCCCGATCGAACCAATCGCAGACAACGAGGCTATCGCAGCCTGCAACGCTTCCGCATCCAAAACTGGCGAGGATGTTGTGACGCCCAATACAGTCTCGTTTGGGAGGGCATTTTGTGCAGATGAGCCACTGACCTCACTGGAGGATGACTCGACTGTCTTTCTATGACCTGATTTCTTCTTGTTCTTCCCACTGAGCATGGGAATGCCCGTAACAAACTCGGCAAAAGCCTTTGCGACATGGGTTGCCTGTTGAACACCGCTAAATCTCTTTTGTTGAGTGCTTCTCCGTTTCTTTCCGCGGGGGTCACTTGTTCTCCTTTTCCTGGGGCCTCCCTGAGGCGCAGAAGGCTTTGCCGCCACAGAGGGTGCGGTCGCAACGACTGTGTCTGATTCTTCCTTTCTTTCCTGCTCACCGTCGTCGTGTTTCAATGAAGCCAATTTCGCGGACAGCATCGAGGTTGACTTCCGAGTTTGACCCTTCTCATCTTGACTCTTTAGCGAGGCTAACTTGGCAGAAGTGCTGTCAAGCTCACCGGAAAGACGCGACATGGCCATCGCATAGTTGATATCTTGCGCGTTGATGGGGCCTCTGGCTAGCAACTCCCGGCGGTCCAATTCGAGCTGTTCGCATCGCCTCTCCAGTCTCTCCATTCGTGCTATTCGTCGTCTGTTGGCCATTGCGTTCCTGGCGCTGGTGGCCTTGGGTGCCGGTGGGTCTGGTGGGCCCGAGGACACAGACCTTGCCATCGCCAAAGCCTCCATGGCTTCGTTCAGCTGGTGCTCCAGCATTGAACCACGAAGCACACCATCTTCGACGTTCCAGTTAACTTCATAGTATTGATTCCGGAGTTGGGTGATTCTGGACTGCAACTCTTCCTCTCGGGTTGTGCTGTCGGGGGCTTCAGTGGACGAGACACTGCTAACGGATTGAACATCTGAGTCTTCCTCTTCCTGCTTGGCAGCCTCAGCTGTTTCCTCAGCCCGTTGGATGTCACGCATGAGCGACTGCTTGGTATCCTCCAGACTTCTGATCCGTCTCTCCATTGCAGCTGAGGAAGACTGAAGTTCTTGGTGCTTCTGCGCGTGGATGATCTGATGTTGCAGATCCTCCTTTCTCGTTTGCAGTGATGCAAAGAACTCGGCCATCATTGCGTCGACTTCCTTGGCTCGTTGAGCCTCTCGTGATCTGTCGTCCGTGTCGACGGCCAAGACATCGCGAATTTGTAACACACAATCAGGGCAAATAAAGTGCCCCCCGTCACTTTGTATGGTGCTAGTTGCCCTGGCCACATCGTCCACCCGAAAGACGAGGCAGTCGGAACATACCAGTTGAGAGCATCTGTCACACGCGCGTTGCACTTCTTGTGGCAAGCGACTGCGACAACACGTATTACTGCATCTTGGAACCGGAGCCCTCTCATAACCTTCCGGCTTTTGCCAGCCAGGAGGGCACAGAGCAACGGCCAGTCCAAGGTCATTCTCGGTTCGAGAGAGCGGCCGCCAGATATGAGCAGTGCCGGAATCCACTGCGCTGCCCACTTGGGATTCACTCAGTGTGGCATACGTGGGCTCTGAAGATGGTGCAGCTGGCATAGGAGCCTCTTCAGCAGCGTCGGATGTTGCGTCGAATGATGCCTGCTGTCTCGCCGAGTTGGCGCGACGCTCCCCCGCAAGCCTCCTCTTCTCCTCCCGACGCAATCTCCAATCTTCAAGCTCACCCTCTTCCAACGGAACCAAGCCATTTTCGACCAGTAGCGGCAGCATCCGGTCACATTGGTCGTTGGGTATGAGGATGTTGCTGATAGGTTCATTCGTGAGAGGGCAAGTAGGATCAAAATTGCGCCCAGCACCGCATCCGTCGTTGGATCTCCCTTCTCGCAGGAGCCGAGCTTCTTCCTCTTCTTTCATTTCGCGCCGTGCTCGGAAATGAGCCTCAATGGAGGATCTCTCGTGCGTGTGGCCTTTGTCACAGAAGACTGGATCTGCAAAGAGCGCCCCTGTGATGGGATCCCTCACTAGAGCATCGCTCTCTTGTAGGACGATTTCATTCTTGAATGATCTACGCTCTCCCGTGTCGTTGTTGCTTTGCACCGTTGCAGACGCATCGTCGGAGGGGCTTTCAAGTGTGGATTGCTGGGTGGAACAGGGGCGACACTCAGAGACAGTTTTTCCCGCTTTGTTTGAACTGGGTGCTGTCTCTGCGACCTCTTTGACTTCAGCGCGAGCTGGTACGGCGTTGGTGTTGTGTTTAGAGCTTGTCAGGAGTGCATTGCGGCATTCTGGCTCAGAAGGCTTGTTACAAGCAGTTGCTGGTGTATCGCTATGCTTCAGCTCGGGAGGCTGATCGCATTGCTGCTGCTGTGTGATGCTTGCTTCGGTCCGATCCATGTCCGGAGGAGAGGACGCTCGAACGGTGGTCTTGGGAGGAGCTCCAATCCGACGGATACTGGCTCGGCCCCGGGCGTGTTCTTTATTCATCTGTTCCAAAGTAGCTTGGCCGATTTGATGATCTTGTGGCAAGAAAATGTTGAAACCCAAAATGAGCTCATTGTTGCCACGAAAGAGTCTTGTCACCTTCTCTTTCACCTCTGAAATGCCCATGCCGCCGGATTGAAAGCTGTCTACCAGTGCCAAAAACTCGTCACGGACATGACCGGCAAACACCTGTTTGACTTGATCAATATACTCCAAAACATCTTGTACTTTGGGTTGTGGCTGAGCCGCTCTCTGCTCTGTTTCCGTCTCGCCATCGCTCTTGGTCTCGGGGTGTGTTGCTGCCGCATCCACAGGCGACGGTGGTCTGTTGGCAGCTGCGTGTGCAGTAGTCACAGATAGCCTGAGAGTTTCCTCCTGTCCAGGCCATGCTTCCGAGTCATCCATAACCTCCGGAACTACAATCGGACACACAATAGGATGGGCCTCAAAGAGGTTGAGCTGCTGAACGTAGTGCGACAAATCCGCGTCCAGATCCACGACGGGGAATTTCCGATTCAAGGCTGTGGCCACCATGTCGACCGAGTCTAATCTTCGAACATAGGCTCTCTTGGGGGTTTCATGTTCATGGCCGTGACTATCAAAGAAGAGCCAGGGAGCACCCACCGTGACGTTTTGGCACACCAAGAGAATGCTCTCCGGTGGTTTCGTGACAATGAGTGCCACCGAAGCCACGTTTCCCTCAAACGCTTGTGCATAGCTGAGGGTGGAGATGATGCATGCTTCCCATTCATCCATTCTACCAACGCTTCCCGTCAGGGGCGTTTCGCGACGTTCCAAGGATTCCACAAAGGGAGCATAGGCATCCATGTCCCACAGATCGTCAACAGACGTGTGGTCGTGTGCAGTGACATTCCGATGAAGCAATACTCCCATTTGTAGCCACGTGTCCAACAGTTCCGTATTGATGTGTGTGGGAATCCTGGACAGTAACTGGGCCGCCGCAAAGAGACAGATGGAAGTGCACGCCGATCTACCGCCTTCAATGGAGAACTGGGTGCAACTCGCTTGTGCCACCAGAGTCCCCATTGGAGCATCCTGGAATCCGGCAGCACTGATCAGGGCTTGACTTTCATGATCTCCATCAACGTAGACATCATCATCCGAGGAGTCTGATGAATCCAAATCCATAATGGCAGAAATCAAACCGGTTGGAGCAGACGCTGCTCTCGGGTCCGAGTCCGAGTCGGAATCCCAGTCCCAAATGGAAAGCGAGTGGTTGGATGGTTCTTGCCTACAAGTACTATGTTCTGAACTTCTCGTTGGAACGCGAGCTGACGGATTGTAGGATGCTCTCTTGGTTGCGATGGCTATGCGTTCTGTTGCGTCAGCATCCGTAGCACCTTCGAGGGTCTCCACGAGAAGCCTGCAATCGTTTTGGATGGCGCGGGAGATGGGTTCTCCAGCTTGGAGACCCAGACAAGTGGGTTCCTCGCCATCCATCAACCAAAGCTCAATGGGACCACGACGTTGTATCTTCAAATGAAACCGAGCCATGCCCATGAGACGGTTGTAGTTGGTGGTCTTGGTGTCCACCGCTCGCACCGTCTTTTCCCTGGGTGGATCGGCATCTTCCATCCGAAAGACAATGTCCACCAAATGTTTCTTCTTGTTGCTCTTCCGTCTGGACATCATTGCAGTGGATGGGTCTTGTCTTCTTCTGGCTACTTCCGATGTTTGCCTCGGTTTGTGGTTTGTGACTTTGTGACCGCAAATACTGTGGGCTTTCGCCAAACGGGGCTTTGCACCAACCTCTGTCAACTCCAACCAGATGAGTGACAGTCTCGTCCTTGAGCTGCTTTCAACTACTAGTAGTACATGTCCAGCAGTACCTCACTCTTTGTCTTCCCGACATGGCGCTTTTGCGAAGCAGCATGTCGACCCGCACGGAGGTTCCGTACTGTAGCCTTGTGTCGTGCTTTGAGGTTTTGGTTGAAACGTGAAAGAGGAAGACCCAGCAGTCATGATTGACTTTGATCATGATCATGACGTCGCATTCATCTCAACAACAGAATTGGCGCTTGGCCATGGAGAAACCCGACCGGTGAGGCGGGAGATTTGTATTGTACGGTGTGCAGTCTACACTGCAACCGCCAACATGCCCGAGGAAAGATGTACCATACCACTACCATACCTTACCGTACCGTACGGTAACAGGAGCGCCATGGTCCACGTTCCGTGATGAGCTACGGTAGCCAGGTGTCAAAGGTCCCATTTGCGACTTCGTAAAAGAACCTCCACGGAATTGAATTCTTTCTATTTTCTCCCCCCATTTGCTCTATAATTCCTAAAGCTCACGATTCGCTTCCTGTTAATTAATTATGCATAAATCATTCACAACCCCAACGCCCCAACATCCACCTTATCGATAACCCTCCCCACCCCCCACCTTTTTTTAGAAACTGACGCACTTCCATCATTTTCTCGTCGATGCCACCGAATTGCTTCAATTGTGCTACAGGGCTTCAGTTACTGGTGCTATTACTACTAGCAACTGCTACAGCGCATGCATGAGCAATGGAGCCTTTGGGAAATAACGATCAAGAGCATGAGGAGGAGGAAGACTTTGCCAATGTTCAAGAACATGATGGACATGACCACAATATTGAGGAAGAGCCAGGAAATGACGATGATGATGATGAAGATGATGATGACGACGACGAGAGCTCGGCACCTTCAGTGGATCCACAATCGGACCCAAGGTTCATGGAGATTTCGGATCAAGAGCTGGAATGGGCACTGGAGATCAAGCGCACCGTGGAAGCCACTCCCGATCTCGACAATCTGAATGACATGATGTATGCTCATCTGGCCATTTACTCCAAGGGAAACGTGGAACGGGCAATGGATCGGGTAATGAAGATGCAGGCTCTCAAGGAGGAATACGGAATTCTCGACACAGTGGAGCAAGCCAGACAAACTCTTGGAACTGTTCTGGGAGATTACTTTCCAGGAGTACTCTTACACTTTGGTTTCGACCAAGAAATGGAAACTTCTTTGATTGTCTATGACTTTTCCAGGACCGACAAACAAATTTTCAAGTGTCCAAATAGAGTCAGTACTGTTATACAAGCTGCATACTATGTCAGCCATGCAAAGTTCTCCAATCTACAAATTGTCCGAAAAGGCAATGTTCATATTATGGAGTGTTCTGGTACGCTGTCAGCGAAGTCCATCAAATTTATCACATTGGTTTTCCACTTGCTCACTCCTGACTCGTATGTTTTGCTTCACACCATATGGTAGGATATAGCTGGTCCCTGAACATGTTTGATCTCAAGATTACAAAAAGGTTATTGACAGAAGTCCATGGCTCTTACCCCTCCACTTTCTACCAGTTATTCATGTATCATACTCCAATGGCATTTAATCTTTTGGTGTCAATGATGAAGCGATCCCTTCCAGAAAACCTCAAATTCAAGTTCCAAGTCGGATGCACTTTTGCTGGACGTCTCAATGGATTCTACGCTATTCCAACACCGGAAGCTGCGACACAGCGAGCTCTGAATAGTTTATGTGAAGCTCTCCAGATCCGATATGAAAATGAAAGGACATTCTCACTGGGATGATCATGGTGCATTTCCATGGAAACATGAATCAACCAAAGGATCGAACCTTCATGGAATCACCAGTCTTTCGTGCAAGATCATGCTGGCTGCTCTCTTCCATCCCTTCACTCATAGAAGACGCAATCTGCACTTAAGTTGGTTTGGTGAGCCTGATGAAGAGATACCGTCGTTGGAGGCCGTGGATTCTCAATGGTGGCTGTACCAGGTTCGTGGCCCACTCACATCGCTGGGCAGATCGCACCACCACCACCATCATTGCCAGCAGAGGAGTTGCAGATTCCTTTCCGCTGCCGGCAGCTTCGCGGCTAATACCTGGCTATTGCTATCAGGTTACTCTCGATTCTGCCCTCTTTCAAAGGGCGGACTATGTATGTATGCAATGCTACGGTAGGTCAAAGAGGTGTATATATTGCTCAATTAATTGCTGTCGTCGCCTTTGTCGTCGTTGTAATTGTCCTCCTCAGATTCGCTCTCTCCTCCACTATAGTTCTCGTGTTCATCAGAATCTCTGGTCATCGAGTGCATTGCATCAAACATGTTGTCATGTGAAAGGAGCTTGCAATGCTTCTTGTGACTCTTGTAGTCAGCCTTTTGGCATGCTGGGCCACAGTACCAGGCCACGTTGCACTGGACGCAGAGATAGTTTGCGTCTTCTTTGCAGACTCGGCATTCCATCTTCTCACGCTCGACCTTTGCAGGGCGTGCGAGATGAGCTCCCATGATTTCCTGGGCATTTTCGAGATTGGAAAAGGCAACAACATACTTCTCGCCGCCGTTGACGATAGATTGAATTCGTCCCTCCATACCATTGAACACGTGCTCGCTGTATCTGTCGTCGTCGGCTTCGACATTTACCACAATAACTTTGGACCCTTCTTCGAGCACAGTGACAGGATTGGCGCTTGCACCGGTCACGGGCTCTCTCGCGGAACCAGAAGATTTTTGCTGCCTCTTGTGCTCATCTAGTGCCACCAATGTGGCCTTGAAAGCTACTTCCGAGAAAAGAAAAAAGCGCAAGATTCGTCTGTCTGCGTCGACACCAGGCATTGATTCCAGCGTTTTCAAATCGAATTTAACCAGCCCATCTATCCAGGGGTCGATGCGAAAGTCGTCGGATATGTCCAGGAATACTCGATCGCGAGTGACAAAGACGGAGCCGGTTAGTTGACTCTCCCAATGCAGAACTTGGTGCCACTTGCCGAGGGTTCCATCTTTGGCATCGCGGGGATCCAGCGTTGGCAGAACATCTTGAACTAGCCATTTGACATAGGCACGGTGAAGAATCATGTCAAACTTCACCTCTTCTACACCTTCTTCACCGAAAATGGTCATGTCTCCTGTCATCCCCGCCCACGCCAGCTCTTCTGCAATGTGCTTTCGTGACATGGACTTGCTGCCTTCTCTACCGCACATTCGCTTCATGGCAGCTTGAAAAGGGTCATCGCTTTGAACTCGAATTTCTTGTACTTGGGACTTGAAACGTCGGAGATGTGCCTGCTGGGATCTGATGTGTGCGATTGTGCCTTCTCGGAGACGTATCATCAGCTCCAAGTAGCCTTTGCCCGTGTCCATTCGGAGCATGGCGGAGAGTGTGGGTATGACAATGCCAAAACGTGTCATATCGTTCGCATCAGAAGCAATCTTCTTCAGCTTGCCGCAGACAAGCCGAGCGTCACCAAACTTTCCAATGTGTTCAATCAGCATTTCAGTTGCTTTGGCTTCAGTCATTGTATTGCCATAGGCTTTCACCATGAACGAGGTGAACGTCATGAAAAGCTCATAGCTCACTTGTCCGGGAATAATGCCTATTTCGGTGAATTGGGACATTATTTTGTCGCCGCCGCGGACGCTCGCACTGATCGCCAACACCATTACCTGGTCGAGTGGAGGCACGGCACTGAGATTGATTGGTTTGATACAGATCCCTTCTCTCCTACCCGACACAGCTCGTGCCGACCATCGGCCCGTCGCTTGGTTCCACTCGAGCAAGTTCACCGTTGTTCCGTTGAGGTCTTGTCTGTTTTGGAGACCGACAACGAATGCTTTGTCGCCCTTTTCCATGGTTGCATCGATCGCTCTTTGTAGCTTTGGTGGCCAATGGTCGTCGTGGGCCGATGGGTCGCTGCGGGACGAAACTTTCAATTCTACGCTATGGAAGTGTACCAGTGAATACATTGCCGACGGGCGCTGCACCCGGGCACTGCGGCTGCGCAACTTCCCTACGTACTATCGTATCGTACTCTACAGAAAAGCTTTCCATTCACTTTGAAGGCGGTAACTACCGTTAGTATGCCAATTTGCTACTGGCTAATAGCCAGCTGGTGATCTTAGGTTTCCAACCATCCATCAACATGCTGGCAGACTATGCCTCGATCGAGCGGCTGAAAGGAGGCAGTCCACCACTAGCTAGCAAGAAGGAAAGCAAGTTTAGCAAATTGAATACCGTTGGTTACTATCACTACTCGTACTGTGCCGTTGTATTGGTTGGCCAGGAGTGGCCTTTTGGTATCTTTTGAAGGGCAAGGCAATGGATCCACAAAATGCAGGACAATGATCAGCACTCTCTCACAAAAAGTATAAATGAAAGTACATCGTCTTCAAACGACACTACGAATGCTTCCATGTGAATTCAAAAATAGTTTCATATATGTACGGTACTATAATAGTACTGTTGGCTGGGAAGACAATTCAGCCTACATCCAACCCCAGCGGCTCCTTTGCTCCTCCCTACTCCACCGCAAAAATGCAGACAGATGCAAAAATGAGGAAAACCTCTGGAACACTTTGGAAACACATTTGAATTTACTACTTAACATCCCTAGTAGCATGGCTGGAGGATGATTTTGTGATCAAAAAGCAACCAACTTCTGGTTACCAGATCTTAGTCAATATCCAACCAATTGACCTAGTTGTTGAATGGTATTTGTCAGCAATAATGTTGTTTTGAATGACAGTGTCTTACTTTGTTGAGATAGTGTAGTTGATAGTGTCATATTGGGTGTTTACTGGAAGGGGTCATTTTTGCACCAAATATTTCTAAATGTAAGGGTGTATATGTTGCTGTGTGTCTTAATGTTAAGGTGTAAAGGCTGACTGATCTTAACTCTACTGGCTGATGTTAGGTTGCCCGGGTTCTTAAAACTAAGTAGCAAATGAGGACTGTCCACATTTGCGCTCCGGAGTAGCTCCCTGCCCTCCTGCCTTCACCCCTTTCCTTGGTTTCCATGTTGCCCTGCTTGCGCACTTGATTGCTTGCCTTGCGTTGTCGCATTTTGATCGTGCTCACAAATAAGACGGCGAACATGGTTGCATGCCAACGGGGCCTCTTCCCAGCCTTTATCGAATACTCTTGGCAGGTTTAGGATCGATACGAGCAGAGCTGTCCTACCATCGAGAGGTGTTGGATTGTTATGTACTACCAGTAGTTGTTCTCTATCTATGCGGTTGTAGAAGGAATGATGGATTTTAAAAACTCAATGATGCACAAGCAGCACACAAACACCCCAAATTCGGCCCTTCTTTGCATGAGTCGAGTGCCGGCTTCCGTATATTGTTCCATGGGGAAATGCAGCCTCAAGTCGTCCCAAATTCCTGGGCTCTGGATCCAAGGATCCTCACAATCTTCAAAGCCAACAAACCAAAAGCAACAAAAGGAAAGATTAGCAATAAAGCCAACCCTCCCTCCCTCCCTGGGGGCCCTGGTTCCCTCAGGGCATTGTGTGGGGGTTGTGCCCCACCTTAATTAGTAGAGCCCAACTTCGCCGCGATAAATTCCCTACCGTATGCTAGACACTCGGCAAACACCCCCTTGTGGCCAGATCCTCCTTCCAAAAGGCCGCAATGGCTCACATTGAACCTCCAGTATCAGTGCCTGTCCTTCTATATAGCTAGCTATAGCTCTTTGCAACAGGAATGATTCAATTTAATTGTAAACGATCGGGGAGATTACATCAGGGTACGATTAGGATCCAATTGTGTTGCTCCTTCTGGTTGCTACCAAACATGTCACAGATCATTGGAACAGGCACAATCACATCCACAGACCAAGGTAGAACAGTCAAAGCTCATGGAACAAAGTAAGCCTGGAGCAGAGAAAAGATCATAGGAGCAAGAGGAGTTTGGAGGAAGCAGAGCTCTTTGGGAATGGTTCCTTCTAAACCATTGCTGCCAGAAATGTTTCGAGAGGCAAGGTTCTTGACAAAGGTATCAAATGGAAATGACCCAATCAACAGAGGTAGACTTGATAGATCAAGTTCCCTCAACTGTTCAATTCATCCCAGTTTTGAGGGGACAACCCCACCTAGGGAGTTGTTGCGCAGATTCAGAACCTGCAAAGACGACATCAAACCAAACTCACTGGGAATAGAGCCTGTAATGTTACAGTCATTGAGCTACAGACCAAAAAAGTCTGTCAACTGTCCCAGCTCACTGGGCAGGGGGGCATCAAATTCATTGCTTCTCAGGCTCATTTCTTTCATTCGAGTCAGCAACCTAAGCTCACTGGGCAATTGACCGGAAAAGGCATTTCCCCAAAGGTAAAATATTTCCATGTTGGTCAACAATAAGTTTCTAGAAGTACTCAGTTCCAATACCCAAGTAGTGGACTGGATCTCGCTGAAACCCTTCCTCAGGGACAGCGGTAGTCAGGCAGTTCAGGGAGCCTTGTCGTGCCTCAGGAGTGTTCCACACCTCCAGTAGGCACCCAAACCAAGGACTTGGCCCTGTCAGTCAGACAGGAGGGCCAGCAGAGCTCTCTGCTGGGCCCTTTGGGCCAGCTCACCTCAGGAGCTGGGGGCCTTCGTTATTCAATCGTGCAGTGGCAGTCTGGGAACAGTACTATCTGCTACCTCCTACTGCTTCTGCCCGGCCTCAACAGGATTGGTATCAACTGCTGCGGTATCAATGGGGCTACAAGCTAATCAGGATCGGTCTCAATCTTTCGTACTATTTTCTTAACTATGGTAGAAAGGACGATCCTTTCTTGCTGCTTTGCTGGAGATAAGCCAGCTGTGGGTGCTGGAGCTGTAGGCCAGCATAGCTGTTGGAGCTATCTCTGACGGGATCCAGAGCTCTCGCTCCTAGACTTTATCGGTCAATAGCCCAAGCTCCGAGGGGATGGGACCTGTAAGAGAGTTTCTGGGTGCTTGAAAATCAGTCAGACTGGTCAGCAATCCAATCTCCGTTGGCAATTTCCCCAAAGCCACAAGCTACCCATGCTGGTCAAAAGCCCAAGCTCCGAAGGGATGGGACCGGTAAGAGAGTTTTCGGATGCAAGAACTTCAACCATGCCGGTCAGCAATCCAATCTCACTTTGCAGTTGACCGGAAAAGTCATTTATCGAATAACCCATGAACCTTAAGTTTTCCATAGTGAAGAGCTCAGATGGTAACATGTCAGCTGGAGTGCCGCTAATATTGTTACGTGGCAGACTCAATACCAACAGATCAGGCAAAAGCACAATCTCTGGTGGAACATGGGGAGTAAGCCTATCAAGTTGTAAATTCGTAATAAACAGATTTTGGAATCTGTCGTCTTGATTGCATGGGTTAAGCTTGTAAGCAAGATCGCCATCTTGGTACTTGCCACCAGGAAACCACCCAAACTCACTGGAAAACCACAAACACTCATTCTCAAGTCTGCCCTCATCTTGCAGCCAATTCTCCTTGTTTCTGTCTGGCCAGCTGAGCCCCTCAAAGGCATAGAAAAAAGTTGCCAGAACAAAGAGTTGCTTCTTCCTCCATTCAGGTAGGTTGGTCAGATTTTGGTGATTGGACAGCCACCACCAAGCCTCGTATTGAGGGGTGCTGCTATTGCCAATGTTTGCCTGGGTGGTGCTTGGGAGTTCCATCAGAAGCAGGTCCAAATATCCAGTTGGAGCCATGGAAGGGACTCCGGAGGGTTCCATGGATAGGTAGACTGTGGGGGTCTCTGTTGCCAATATTATTTCACTCTTCCTTGTGGAAAGACCCGCCCCAATACCAGTCCCAAGAACCAATAGAGAGACAGCAATGATAGCACATCCAATTCTTCTGCATTGCTGCTCTTTTTGTTCCTTGACGGACTGCCTTTCTAGAGTTTCCGGGTCAACTTGGTGAGCTTGTGGAAGCATTAGGTCATTGCTGGGGTCTTCTGTCAGTGGTGTGGCTTCTACCAACCCAGCATTTGGATCACCGATGGGAGTGGTTGCTGGAGCCATTGATGGGTCCAATGGTTGTTGTTCATCCCGATGGGCACCATTGTCTTCTTCGGCAAACATCTCTTGATTGGAAGCCGGCACTCCTTGCTCCTGCGATTGAATCTGCAGTGCTAGTGAAGACGGTTGTGGCATCAATGGTTGAGAGGATGGTTCCGGTGTCACTTGGTTTTCATTGGGGTCTTGCTGGTGCTGTTGGCTCTCGGTATACTGGTGCAGAGCACTAAGAGTCAACACTTCGTCTTCGGGGCGTAGTTCAAATTCAGCCGCTTCATCATCCTGTGCTGACGTCTGAATCTGCAGTTCTCCCCTGCCAGTGGCCAACTGTGGTGGCAGTGCAGGAACTGTCTCCTCCAATAGTGAAGCTGGTTGTGCCATCAATGTTTAGATGATGGCTCTGATGTCACATGGTTTGCATCGGGGTCTTGCTGGTGCTGTTGGCTCTCCATAGCCATATGTGTCAATGCTTCATCTCCGGGGAGCAGTTCCCGTTGAGCCTCTTCATCATTAGAGTCATCCTGTAATAGGGTGTGTCTGACATTGGCTGTTTGGTTCTTGCCAAGACCCCTGAACCTAGCAATACCTTGACCTGCGGTGTCATCACTGAATGACTGCTGAGTGCGTTTGGTTCCTCTGACTGAGTGTAGCTTTGTCTCCAAGTCTTCTTGAGTCCTGTGCAACCCATGCTTGTTGCTGTTGCTGGTGGCTTATGACGGTGGTGAGTTATTGTTGGAAGGGGGTCTTCCAAACCTTCCTCATCTAAGAAGCGCATAATGGGGTAGCGCGAAAACAGTGAGGTCGGTTACACATTTGGTAGGTCAGTCGATGGTAAGGTTACCAATTGATAAGCCCTCTTCCTGAATTGGCAACCATGGTTACCAGTTCATGAGGGAAGGGTATCAAACAGAGACCTAGCAATGCTATTGAATCCACAAGGTCTCTACTAGCGTAATGGGTATGGTCTATCTAATGCAATCGCATGGTCTTTTGGTTGGTGATCGGCGTTCTATCTAGTTAATCTATCTTATCGTACGAAACGTCGTCGTCGACTTAGCCAAATCCTCGAAACTGACTTGGTGCATACAGGAAAATGGGTATCGTCACAGGAATCACCAACCAAACACTAGGAAATAACACTGGAGGGATGAATCCAGTAGTAGGATCCACTCTCCTCTGTGCGTTTCGAGTTGTCGTGTAGCCTCCTCCTCTTGTTGCCATTCAATGACTCGACGACGATCCTCCGTTCATGCTGTTGATAGGGCTGGAGTTAACAGAGCCTCCTCCGTAGTTGCAATCGATCGGTAGCAGCCTCTTCCTCTCTTGTTATCTGTCGCGATCGACCGTCCACAATGGTAATTCATCGGCCGTCGGCAGTGCAGCAGAGAAAACAACAAATAGATATGAGTTTTGCTTTCTGTGCTCAACTGAAGAAAACCGGTGACTTACCCTTGTTATTCAAATTGCACCAACTTGGCCGTCATGGGCCGAGAACTGACTGCCATCCCATGGTCCATAGGATTCAATGAGGGATGGCTTTCGAATCTACACCGGAGACAGCCAGCTTGAGTGAGGCTTGGATAACAGAGATAATAGATTAATAGAGGTGCGACCGATTGATTCGAATAATAAAACAACTCACCTACTGTTGATGGCCGAGATCTGACTGCCTGCCCATGGTCCATAGAAATGAATGAGGGATGGCTTTCGCATCTACACCTGTAACAAACACTCTTGATAATAGGCTTACCTCGAATCGATTCGATCGATTGGCCGATTGGATAAAGCACTCACCATTGTTGTCGGCCAAGCTTGGATTTCTCTCCTATTTACCATAGGAATACAATGAGGGAGAGAAGTCAGTGCTGCGCCTTCAATAATTACTCACTTGATAATAGACTTACCCGTAATAGTACATATGGTAGCAGCGATCACCGCTCCTCCACCATTGTGTTGCTGTTTTAATGTTGTTGTTGTTGTTGTTGTTGTTGTTGTTGTTGTTGTTGTTGTTGTTGTTGTTGTTGTTGGTCGAGGGAGAGGCTGCTTTTCGAAGAAGAGCGCAGCCGGGCAGGCTGTTCCGTGAAGTCTGTTTGAATATTTTACTGTGAAAAGAGAGTACTCTCCAATGACACGTCCCAAAACAGCTTGCCCTCCTTCTAAATCTAAGTCCACCTTGAGGAACAGAAGCAGCGCCACATCCAAACCAAGGGCTTATTTCCTCACCAATAGAGGCTTCTCCTCTTACAGAGCAAAGAATCCACCCTTGTACACGGCCAAATAGCCAAGCAAAGACATGCTCCCGCTACCCAAACAGCAATGAGGTTACCAACCAGTTCCAACCCAAGGTTGGACCTTGTACATTCAGGTATCCAATGGCTACCCAATCTAGAAGGTATAAGTAATCAAACTGAAGGTCAAAACTGTCAGGTAACCTGAGGGATCCTCAATAGGAATGGATGCCATTACCCAATCAGCATGCTGTTTGCTTACCAAAGAGGAGCTTAGGAGCTGAAATTGGAAGCAATAGCCTACTAATCTAAACCAACTGGGTACGGAAAAGGCAGGTAAGGACCATCCAGATTCAAAAATACCCCATTATGCGCTTCTTAGATGCTTGTTGAGCAGCAATCTTGTTGGCCAGTTCTTCAGGAGTTCGTCCCAGTCCCTTTTGGGTTGGGTTGTTGCTTCTTGCTGCCTCGAGATCTCCATGGTACTGGTAGCTTCTATTGACGCTGCTGTTGGTGGTGGCTTGTGACGGTGGTGGGTTATTGTTGAAAGGGGGTCTTCAAACCTTCCTTGTTGAGCAGCAATCTTGTTGGCCAGTTCTTCAGGAGTTCGTCGCAGCCCCTTTTGCTTGGTGTTGTCGCTTGTGGCTGCTATGGTTTCCTCGAGATCTCCACGACCACTCCCATTGCTTCTGCTATCACTCATGTTACTGCTGGTGGTGATTTGTGACTGCGGTGGGTTATCGTTGGAAGGGTGCCTTCCAAACCTTCCTTGTTGAGCAGCAATCTTGTTGGCCAGTTCTTCAGGAGTTTGTCCCTTTTGGTTCGTGTTGTTGCTTGTCACTGCTGCCATCTCCTCGAGATCTCCATGGTCACTTCTGATGCTGCTGCTATCGCTCATGTTGCTATGATATTGTGCGGTCTCTGTATATACTCTGTTATCCATCTCCTCCTTGGCTTATTTGTGTGCTCATCGCTTCTTGTCTCTCGGCCATCAAGCTGCATGCCGAGGCATTCTCGAAATCTGAATCAGTGCGGGAAAGCCTGTACTTTGAGACTTTCTTAAACTCGTGTTGACTCAATACCAGCCGATACCTGCTGGCCTGTCACTCTAAGGAACAGTGTCTCGTAGCACCAGAGCTTTTCCTGCAGCACTGCGATCTTTTGCTGACATGCTGACACCCTCTCCATGCCTGGTCTCTCTGACTGTAGAGAAAACAAATACTAAATAGATACGTTCAGGAGCGAGGGGGGCGAAGCTAGAGGCAAAGCAGTGGCTGCGGTGGTGGGCGGCTGTTGTGGTGGGCGTACGGGGAGAGCAATGAGGACGCGAGCAGGGCAAAAAAGGGGGGCAGGGAAGGGGGGTGCAGGGAGGAAAACCAGGAAGGAGAAGGGAGCAAAATTAGCGGAAGAGTGCAAGTGCACCATCGGAATCCCAGAGAGAACGACGGTAGCTCATTGTGCCAGCTGGGACACGAGAGGTGGCGGGCCCAAAGAATAGCTAGGCTGAGCCGAGCATTAACGTAGCCACGCACCACGGAGTAAGGGTGTTCCCACTTTGCAGCGAGCAAAGCGGAAATACGTTTCGCGAGTGCCTCAGCTTTGGTCCCAAGGAGACCATCAGCAGAGACAACAAACGGAGTAAAGTGGCGGCGTTGGGAAAGACAGGCGTCGAGATACTTGCGTTTCTTGTCACGTTCGCCATTGCGAAGGACCTTGTCAGGATCCTTGCGACAGTGAGAAGCAGCATCAAGATTGATGACACGAACATCAATTATGCCGTCAGTTCCTCGTTGCCAGAGGCCACGGATAAGGAGATCACCTCGTTCCTCGGATGTGGTGAGAACTACAGGAGAGTCGCTGGAAGGTGAAGCATCCGTAGCTGCAGAGCGACTGAGTTGGATACGGGGTTCGTCGCGAACTGCAGATGGGATGAAGGCCTTGGCAGCGAGATCACCGAGTTCATCACGCACTTCATTGTGGCGTTGGAGAACCAAGCCGCCCTTGGTACAGGAAAGGGCGTGAGTGACACTGAAGCGCTCTCCACAGCCATCACAGTGGCTGGGAAGATCAGAGGGGCTCCGATCGTAGCGCAAGTGCAAAGCATCGCGGAATTCCTGGGCAGCGAGAACAGTGCCATTTTCTGGCACTGGAACCACATGAAGCCAGGCACCAGTCTCCGGGGCGCGCTTCACAACAGAACAACTGGAACGTGGCAAGGTACCTAAGACCTTGTGCAGGTTCACAGCAGCTGCAGCTTCACGGCGAGCGCGAAGAGCCTAACGACCATCAGACACTGTCTGACGGTGATCCGCAATGCGGAATTCTTCGGAGGGATCACACAGGCTAGCTGTGATCACACTGCAGATGTCCTGACTAGCACTACGATTTTCATCGATAGTGCTAGTGGGATTGGGAAGAGCTAGGCCAGCTGCTTTGACTGGCAAGCTGGTGAGTTGGCGGGCGGGAAGCTCCGAAGGAGCAACACCAAAAAGTGCTGGGAGGAAGGTGTTGGCGATAGCGGCCTCGATGGCTGCAAAGGAATCGGCAGAGCACCTTGTCACCCGTAGCACAAACTGCCATTTGTGCTGCAGAGACTTCTGCAAGCCACAGTAAGCAGATTGGGGGTATTTCGAGCAGACTTCAGAGAGAAGTACTACAGAATGTTCCCACTCACGGGTTTGGGATTCCAGCCAGGGTGTGAACTCTGACGCAATGCCTACGAAGCCACCCAAATAACGTGAACCAAGCGTTATAGATACCCATTTTCGCTGTTGCTGGCAACACTTGGGTGGGGGTGCGCGGTGTTGGCTGGTCGCAGAAAGTCATAAATCAATGCTTGGCTGGGGTTCGTGCTCTACCGGCGCGGTCTGAGAGTTTTCTACAAGCTAGCTAGGGAGTAAAGAAGTAAGTTAGAGGGAGGTTATGACCTTCGCCATCAGCGCTTAGCTGCTATGATATGTTGAAAGATCGAGGATGGTGATCTTTCCAGGTTGGATACGACTGATTATTTCGAAACCGACAGCTTGCTTTTCGTCCTTTGGCCTCGCGGGATGATTGCAGCGCACGCTGCGACGGAACAAACCAAGGCGACTTGTTCTTGGAAGCAAAGCCCCCCAAAAGGGAGCCAGGTATTGTTGTAGAGCTGTGACTCTTTCATGCCGCCAGTGCTTCTTGGCGTCGTCGAATGCTATTGGTAGTCGTGGTAGTATTGCCATTCCTCTGATTGTCAACACTACTGTGATTGTTGGCATCCATAGCACTCCAAGAACTGAGCATGTCGGAGGGTTCCTCCACTGCAGTGTCGTCGTTGTTGACACTGTAACTGTAATCTTCCAGGTCGTGGACCCCCATATCCGAGTCACTCGCGTAGGAGAGCGTAAACCAGGAGTCTGCCCGGGCGAGCATGGGTCGTCGGTTGGCGGTTGTCTTGTTGGAGGAGGGAGGCATACGAAGGGCTGGTCGACTGTTGGTCTTTTTGGTTACGAAAGAAGAAGAAGGAGTTGTACTGCTGGAGTAGCAGCTTTGGTTGGCTGCGAGACGACGTGATGCTTCTCGTTCCAGTTCTTGTCGTCGGGCTGATTGGTATGCCAGAGTAGATCTTCGGTGTGCCTGAGGAGGAGAGCAAGGATGGTACAGTACAAGTATAGTAGTTAGCAAAGGCTGCAAAAAGAAGAGGTGCCTGGATAGCTACGTGGCTGCAAAGATAGGTACTATTAATACACTGTATGCACTTACCGAGTCTGAGAGTTGCTGGTTGACATTCGTCTTGGCGCTTTCAGTAGTGACAGTGACGGGGGCCACTGGAGCGGAGGATGGTTCTGTGGTCTTTTGGACTTGTATTCTGGTACTCTTCTTCTTAGCCATGAGTGGCATCACTTGCGTGGAATGAGATGTCTCGGAACAGTCAGGGATTCCCCAATCATTCGATAGCCGAGCCGCGGTGCAAGTAGTGCTGGCAGTCACCGAAGACGAAGGGGAGGACGAATTGGGGCACTTTGTCCTGCAGGGCTTGCTGCCATCAAGACTACTGCTCTTCACGCATTCACGGTGATCATTATGGTGGCACTCTTCCTCCACGGGGTGAGAAACTTGCAAGGATTGGCATTGGCCCATGTTGAGATGGCTGAGATGTTGGGACGGGGGGAAGCTGGAAAAAGACAGGGTAAGTGTGTTTTCTTTGGTGTGGAAGAATTTTGTGGGCAGCTCTGAGAAGATAGATTGATGCATCAAAATACTAGCTAGTAGCCAGTAGCCAGATCGATCAATGCGATGGGCTATCGAGCTGCCACGCAGTACCGGTATCCATGCCGAGTCTTGGGCTACCGGTAGCTCGCACTGTCGTAGCCATCGACAAAATCAGCAAATCTCAAAATCTCTGCTTCTTTTGATGGGTTGTCAGTTGCGAGAACCCAAGATTGACCAAGGTCACTTGCACGCCACCTGTGCACGTGAGTTTCTCTACATTGTACAATAACTCTGATACGAAAGGGACCTTTCCAAAATTGCTGGGTTCGTGACAGACACAAGGACACCACACAGTACCAGCCAGAACTGGAAGGTGAAGTAATGAATTAAATCCATTATTACGATCAGACAAGAGAGCTATCGAGTAGATGACTGCTTGGACAATCGCAGCATTCGGGGAAGTCCAACTCGATCCTTTTGGAGCTTCTTTTGGGCCGTTGAGCACTAATGAATTAAAAGCATTCAGAAAACTGAGAAAGTTCTCCTAGTCAGCGAACAGAATCGAGAAGCCCAGAAGAGTCAATGATTGCCAAAGATATACAGGGTTGACTTCTTGGTAAATCCATCGGGTCTTTTCCGATTTATCCATCCTGCATCGAGCTGGTACGGCTGAATTTGCGGAGTCGGCTTGTTAAATCCCATTATGCTCCAATTCGTCTTACCTGCTTTTGCCTACCAGGTACTATTAATAGCAGTACTGGAGTACCGCTACGCTGTACTACTATACTCAACGTCATGTTGAGGCGTCCCGGTACCGGTAGAGGCCAGGGGTATGGGGCAACTATAGGATTTACCAACTTGACACGGCACAGTAACAGTCTACATAACACAGCAGTTACGTGCAGTTACGTTATGTGCATTTACGTTAGGTGCAGTTACGTTTTACTATGGTATTTGATGTAATCGAGTTACGTGCAGTTACGTGCCATTACGATCTGTTACGTGCAGTTACGTGTAGTTACGCATAAATACGTATTTTGAAACCCATTATCTCGAAATCCAGAAGTTGCCCCATACCCCAGCGCGCACTACAATTTCCATGCCACTGCCAGCAAACACCTGCCTTGGGCAACTCACGGTGGTCGGCGGGATGGTTCATGACTGTGATGGCTGGCCTGCAACCTGCAACATCGAGCCCCTACCATAGTAGCTGGCTAGCTACTGGCTAGCTAGAGATCTACATGTAACCTCTTTTTAGTTAGCACCACACCAACGCAGCTAACCACTGGCTGCTGGTACCGTACCAATACCAAAAACGGAAGCAAAGAAAAGCAAAGAAAAAGTAGAAGCAAAGTGAAGGTCAATCGGGTGGCAAGCAACTTTTGTACTCTTGCTTGCTTGTACTCTTTGGATCGACACAAGCTAGGAGGCGCGCATCTACCCACCATCAGATCTTGGCATCTTATTAGAACCTGCCTCTCGTGGGAGTAAAACGCACGATGAGCAATAGAGGTAAGTAACGAAAGCAGCCAAGCAAGCATCTCACAGAGCCCTACACGTAAGCAGCCACAAGCAAGTTTGCTGGCTGTTTTTGCACGCCTCTTTCCTTCCCACACTCCCAGGTACAGCCTACTACCGGGCGCCGGTAGTAGCTACTTGTGAAAACAAGGTGGGCAGTAGAAACGAATGGGCGGGGTGGTTGCCGCAACGCACACAAATGGACTGGAGATTGCCTGGTTGACTTTTTATTGTCCATCGATCGACTCAAGCAAGCAAGCACCCAGTCAGTCAGCCTATAGCTACGTACTAACTGCCAAAAATAGGCCGCCCGACGAATCACTGTGCGTCGCTCGTTGAGGGAACCTTGTTTGCTGTTGATTCCTCTTTCTTGCTGGCTGGCAGCCGAGCACTGATTGCTTTCTACATCGTTGCAAACACAGCTCGACTCGACTCGACTCGAGATTTGCCAAGCATGCACCAAGTACCTACCATGCCTCAGACCATGATGAAACCTCTCTCTGGCTAGCACTCTAGCTGGCAAGTACGTCCATTTCAACTTGGCAAGTTCTTCCCTCACCTGTTCTGTTCCATTTGGTTTTGCGACGGGACGGCTTGCTATGTTTCGTCTGTCCATGCATCCGAAAGATCTTTTGAGTCCAATGAATCGAATCCAGGAAGAAGCGATGGATCTTTCCTGCCACTCAATTATTTCCGAACAACACAAAAGCACAAAAAGGCAAGAGAGCAAACGAGAGAGGTCCTCTAACCAATACTAGCTAGCTAGCTATAGTCTGTAGCGTACCGTACGGTACAATGGCGACTCCAGACTCTGATATGGAATCCACAGAACGGTCGAAGAAAGAGGACCGCAAGAAGCGTAAGGAGGAGTCCAAGAAAGATTCCAAGGGGTCCAAGAAGGAGCGGAAAGAAAAGAAAAAGAAAGACAAGAAGAAGAAGGAGTCCAATAAACGGCATCTCTCCGACACAAGCAAGGAGGAAGTGTTAGTGCCTGATCCCACCCAACAGCAACCAACCAAAAAGAAGAAGAAACACAACAATGACAATGACAATGACAATAGCAGTAAACTACCGTTTGATCATGCGTATATTGTGGCACCGATGGTCGGAGCCTCGGAATTGCCATTTCGGTTATTGACGCGCAAGTACGGCGCTCTTTTGGCATATACGCCCATGATGAGTTCGGTGCGATTTGTCCGTGAACCATCTTATCGCAATGAAATCTTTCAGACCAACCCACTGGATCGACCATTGGTGTGTCACTTCAGTGCCAATTCGCCCACTGATTTTGCCAAAGCCGTTCAATTGGTGGCGGACCAATGCGATGCCATTGATCTCAATTTGGGATGTCCTCAACGGACTGCCTTTGTCGGCCATTTTGGCAGTTACTTGTTGGATCCCGGTCCCGATCGACAATTGATTTGTGATATTGTGCGTGCGGGCGTTGAAGCAGTGTCGCCTCCGAAACCCATTTTGGTCAAAATTCGACTCTTGGAGACATTGGACGAAACCATTCAACTCTGTCGTCAATTAAAAGATGCCGGTGCCAGTCTCATTGCCATTCATGCCCGAAAGCGGGCCGGTTGGGAACGCAAGGGACCCGGGGCACGCGATGGACCTGCCAAATTGGAGTTTGTCACGCAGATCAAACAAGCCGTGCCCAATATTCCCATTATTGCCAATGGAAACGTCATTTCCTATCAAGATGTACTCGACAACCAAACACTCACAAACGCCGATGGAATTATGAGTGCCGAAGGAATTCTCGATAATCCAGCACTGTTTCTGCCACGGTTGGGAAACAATGAAACTACGATACAACAAACAGTCACCATTGTCGATCCACTTTTACATTGTTGTTTCAAGGACGATGCTACTATCCCACCATTGGATGAATCCAATAACAC